TTTCGACCTTTCTTTTTACAAATTTCTTGACTTTAGACGCATGAAGTTATCAACCTAGGTGAAGTCAAATGATAGATCATTAACTAAACAAGCATCATGTACATACCCCAATACAAACAAAAATTATTTGTGAATTGGAAAGACAAGAAATATAGCTTTCTAAGGTCAAGACTTCTTGCATGTCACAACTTAATAATATGTTGAATGGACGTGAAGTTTTTTTTTTTATGTAATATTCATGAGTTACAATGGAAGTTGTGATTGCAATGTGTTATTTAGCATATTAATAAATTTATTTATAAAAAAAATACTTATTATTCTTTCATTCCACAGAATTTGGCAACTGTGAGTTCTCCACCGGTGAAGCCTCAGTCAATAAGGTGGGACAAACATGGTGTGTAGCGAATGGCGCAGCTGGGGCTAAAAAGTTGCAAGAGGCACTTGATTATGCTTGTGGTGAGGGCAAGGCTGATTGCAGTCCGATTCAGAAAGGTGCCGCGTGTTACGATCCTAACACACTTGAGGCCCATGCATCATATGCACTCAACAGCTACTATCAAAAGAATTCTAGACGAAGTGGTACCTGTGATTTTGGTGGTGCAGCCAAAGTAATCACAGAATCTCCTAGTGAGTAATAAAATCTTTTATTCTAAATTATTGATAATCAATGATAGGCACGGCATTTGCTACAAACAATACAGAGATAATGACTGCATAGTGTCTTTTTAGCATCTTAATTATTTTATTTAACAAAAAAAGTACCTTTCATTTTTTGTCATTTCTCAGAATTTGGCAACTGTGAATTCTCCACGGGAGAAGCCTCAGAGAGTAAGGTGGAGCAAACCTGGTGCGTAGCGAATAGCGTAGCCGGGAATAAAAATTTGCAGGAGGCACTGGATTATGCTTGTGGTCAAGGCGGGGCTGATTGCGGTCCGATTCAAAATGGTGCCAAGTGTTACGAACCAAACACACTTGAGGCCCATGCATCATATGCGTTCAATAACTACTATCAAAAGAATTCTAGACGAAGTGGTACCTGTGATTTTGGTGGTGCAGCCAAAGTGGTCACTGAGTCTCCTAGTGAGCATTTGATCCTTTTTGCTAAATTTCGTTCTTTTTCTTGAATTTAAAACATATTATATATGCATTGCATATTTATCATTTTATTTACCAAAACAATGTAGAATTTGGCAACTGCGAGTTCTCCACTGGGGCAGTTACAGCGAGTAAAGTGGGGCAAACATGGTGTGTAGCGAACAGTGAGGCTGGGGAGGCAAAATTGCAAGCGGCACTAGATTATGCATGTGGTGAGGGCGGGGCTGATTGCCGTCCAATCCAAGAGGGTTCCACGTGTTACGATCCTAACACGCTTGAGGCTCATGCATCATATGCTTTCAACAGCTACTATCAGAAGAATTCTCGACGAAGTGGTACATGTGATTTCGGTGGTGCAGCTAAAGTCGTGACTCAGTCTCCTAGTGAGTAATCAATCATTAGTGAATTTTAATCATACTAATGTTAATATTTT